AATTAAAAATAAATAAAATTGGATAAATATTTTATGGAATTATTTTTTACCTGCTTATTGAAAGGAATGTTATATATATATTTTCCAATTCCATTTTTTTTTTTTCCTTTTTGTCTTTTTTCGTGTCTGGCAATGGATCGCAACCCTCAGTGTCGCGCCCGTACCGGACTGGGACCGGCAACGGGATCGCAACCCTCGGTGTTGCTCCCACACCTCGCTCAGCCAGTGAGCGGGAACCGGTCTGTATGTGGGATCCGAACCCTCGACGGAAGCACCACCGCGCTCCCAAGCGGCACACTGTAGCAGTGCGCCACCGGGCCAGCCACCATTTTTCATTTGAGATTAAAATACAAATAGTTGAATACTTCCCAAGGTGTAATTAATATAATTATCATTACATTCAGATGTTCTAAGACTCCAGTGGCTCACTTTAAAATTTATAAAAGGAATATTAATCAAATTTGCAGGAAGAACAGCAATTAGTTATATATTTGTTACGTGTTTACAGATCCTAGGATTAAAGGGCTTAAATATATGTTAGTATAGTTAATATTAACTGCATTCCATATTCATTTTCATTCATTACTTGATCAGAATTTTTCATATATACAAGGGTTCTTCAAAAATTTCATTGAAAAATAGAATTAAAAGATAATATGAATCTTTCCATGAACTTTTCAAAATGCCCTCATATTTGCCTAATTAATATTATTGTTGATATCATCATAGTAATTGAAAAAATAACATCCAGGCTTAAAAGTTAGGTGTAGTATTGTTTTAGGTTGTTACTAATTATTAATTTCATGGGATTAAGCAAACACACAGTTTTAAAATACTGTAAAATATCTGTAATTTTGTTGCCTTAGAACGGGGTTTCTCAGCCTTGGTACTATTGACATTTTTGGTCCAGATAACTCTTTGCTGTGAGGGGCTGTCCTGTGCATTGTAGGATGTTAGCAGCTTCCCTGGCCTCTACCCATGAGATGCCAGTAGCAAGCCCATAGTTGTGATAACCGAGAATATCTCCAGATATTGACAGATGTCCCCAGTGGGTAGAATTGCCCATGGTCAAGAATGACTACTTTAAAATATCTATTTTATATTGCAACTTATGTATAATCTTATCATTTTTAAATGTTTAACTTCCAATAAAATTAGTAAAGTTTATAGTGGATTTGTATAAAAACACATGGCACAACAGATTGAAGGCTCTGTTAGGTCAAATAATGAGACTTTAAATTCTGATTGTACCTTTCTTTTGTAATTTGTTATAAAAAGAAAAATGATTACATT